GTTTGAAACATTTCAGAGTAAGAGCGGGGCTGCGGCTCCCATGATTGTCTTCTGCAGATGAAGTCTGTGTAGTAATCCGTGCGCACGGATTACTAATCTGTGCTCTCAGTTTAGCAATCCGTGCGCACGGATTTCCGGCGGCTGTTTTTCTTTTTTCACCACTGACCCCCGGCGGGCTCCGTACTCTCGCCGAGTTGTCAGCCGGCTTTCTGAAAAGGAGCGGACCCGGTGGTCCGGTAAAGGAAAGGGTCTTGCAGCAAACTTTTATGTGTCAAAGTTCTGAMTATTTTGTTCCGCTTCAGCAGTCTACTCTGTTTCAACGAGACAGTTGACTTTAGAGTCCAGCAGCAAGCAGTTCTGCTTCGGTCCACGGGGTGGTGAAACGGTTCTGGGGTGGGGTTCTGATCAGTCACCGCCTCTTCCTCTGAAGACCGCTTTTCAAAATCCGCTGCAAACCAGTAGGATGAATGTTGKGCCGAAGTCTGGAGTCACAACGCAGCTGGAGACACATAACAGCTCTTAATACAGTTTAGAGGTCGGGAAACACCTCAGCGGGTCCAGATCTGCCCGAGTTTAATGAACACTTGGTGCTGCCTTCAGGGACTAGCTGTAAAGTTTGGATTCACTAAATTCGGAGTCGAAGAAGAAGACAGCTCCACTACCGGCCAAGTTTCTTAAACTTTGGTGAGTTTTTTTAGTTACAATATTTCATCTCTCCGTAAGTGTTATGAAAGATTKAGTCAGTGCTGTTATTAAAAGAAGTCAGCTAAATGTTTCTTCTAATTCTCCCACTGTTTGTGAATTAGCCTCTTTAGCTCACAGCAGCCCATCATCACTTTCCTGTTTCTGGTCTGAAACCATCAGAACCATTTCTGCTCCACAGTTAAACAGTTTGTCAGAACTTGCTTTAAGAAGAAAATAAAAACCCATGAAAACATTTATACAGAAACTGCATAGCAAGTTTGTCACAAACTGAAATGAAAACTAATGTTGAGAAGGAAAATAAACTCTTAATAYGAGAGAAATATATTTTCTGCTCACTTTTAAATATTTAAACACTTTCAACTAATACAACTTACTGTAAAAACTACAAAATACAGCATGAAAGACTTGAAGCTGAAACTGAGTTATAAAGACWAATACTAAAAGAAGCTGAAGAGCTAAAGAATAATAAGAGAAACAGAAATCCTCAAAGCCAAAATTGACTAAAAGGCTGTTTGAAAGCTAAATGCAGTAAAAATTTAATAAAAGTAGCAAAATAGTTAACTAATGGCTAAAACTAGTAACAGGTTTTAAAATTAGCAAAACATTAGGTAAAAGCTAAAGTAGCAACAAAAGGTGACTAAAATGAGTGAAAACAGCAGAATGATTGCTGAAAGCTAGGAGGAACACATGCTTAACTAAATGTATGAACAGCTAAAAGTTAGCTAAAAGGGTAACTRAAACATGCATAAGAAGACAAAAACAGAAGCTGAAGCAGATCTGAGAGAAAAGTATTTGTCATCAATGCATTTCTGAGGAAATGTTTTTTTTTTTACAAAATGAAATATTTTGACAAGTTTAAGTTTCGAAACAAAAGTCACATCACACATCCAAAGGTTTTGAAATGTGGTTAAAGAAAGCACAAAGTATGCAGAAGTGTTTGATTGCTAAAACATACATTTAAAAAACAACTAAAGAATCATGTGAATGCTGAGTCAGCATTTTCACAGTTGTGTCTGTTCGTTGGATAGTTTAGTAAATGACTACACTTCCTGTAAAACAAACAGAAACCTTCATCTGCTTTAAACTTTTTAGCAAAAAGTCAATTTTTATTTCTAACTTAAAAATGTTCTCAGAATGACTTGACTTATTTTTGCAGGTCAGCTTGTTTTGATCRTTCAGAATCTGTGTAAATGTCCTGAATTGTGTTTTGGTTCATCCTTTAACAGACTGGTTAAACTAGTTGAACTAATGCACAGTTAGTGATGGTTCCCACAACTTTAGCTTTACATTTCTTTAAATAAAAAAGTTGAGGAAACAAAGAATTTTAGTTACTGAAAATGCTATTATTAAATCAATGTAACTCTGATTAATTTCCTCATCACTGTTTCAGTCTGATGCTGGGAATRATCCCAGAGGTTTGATATATACAGTATCAGGCTTCACAGCTGATGTGCTATAGCTTTCAGTTTAGACGACGCTCACTGCTGGATATTTGACATGTCAGAGTGATGTCTCTTTCAATGTGCTCCTTATTCAACTTTTAACATTAAAATTAAAAATTAAATCAATAGGTGAATTTAAACAGTTAACAAATAATAAAAGAAACTAAAGATATAATTCTTAATCTAAAAAGTGTGTAATTATAAAG